GTATATAATTAAGCCCTGCTCAAAAAAAAAGTCCGAAAAATATTATAATTGAAATTTAAAAAGAGAAATCTAAAGAAGGGCTCAATATAAAAAGAAAGTGGGTTGCAAATTTACTTTCATAATTATTAACTTTGTAATGAATTGTTCTTATTAATTAAATTTATTATAAAAACTCCCCCTATTATTTCTTTTTTATTTTTTTGAAAGACTAATATTAGATATAATTAAAGTATATTTAGGTAAACAGTAATTCTCATGTGAGGAATTCTAATTACCTAATTTTTCAAACCCAAAATAAGCTCACAGAAACGTTAAACATAAACTAATCGATAATTAATAAGAATAAGAGTTTAAGGACTTTCTAAGAGGTGTGAATGAAAATTTTTTCTTAAGTAAAAGAAAAATGCTAATGATCATATAATTATTGTTTAATATAGGAGATAGGAGATTTTTTAGAAGATAGTGATGCTTAAAGTATAGAAGTTGTAGTAGATTTACTTTAAGAAAATTAATACCAATCAATTAAAATTCCTCAACCGAATGATCAAAGCATCATTTTTTAGGATTAAAAAGAAAAGATAATATTAATTGCATTTAACCTGAGGTTTTAGATGCCTTCCAATATCCAAATATATATAACAGCATGGAATAAATTGCTGAAAATATTAAAAAAAAAATAAAGTAAGTTTCCCCAGAACATTAAACGAAATATAATCTTAAAAAAAGATTTCTTAGATTATATGATCATTAGAATCAAAATAATTGATAGAAATTTATCCATAGATCAAACCTTAAATTAATTTGATGCTAAATTCAATAATTAATGTATAATTTAATTTAATGATCAATATTGCGTTGATTATAAATTATTATTCATCCTTTTCTTTGATTGATCCATAGGCAGCCTCTACAATTCTATTCAAACTATTATGGAATTATTTTAGTTTCAGAATCAGCTGTTTGCATGAAAGAGCTTGTTTCCATTAACTTATATTATAAAATATTTATCAACTATGACATAATTTAAATAATTTACTTCGAAATAAATTGTTTTTCATCCGAAAATTGATATTATGACAACTAAATCCTAATTTAAAGTAATTCCAAACTTATTTAATTGAAAGTTAATTAGTTTGGATTTGGAAAAAATTTCCTTCACAGTCAACAACATTTATTGTAAAATGAATTCTCATAAAGTCTTAGGAAGAACAACATAAAGTATTCTTATAATCTTAATATTTGTTAGGGAATGTTAAATTTGAAGAAAAATTGTAGAAATATATAGGTGTAATTTTCAGAAATTGAATTTCAATGAACAAGTCTTTTGGAAAGATTGGGGTTTTAAACAAAACCATTTTTACCATTACTTTATTTTTACTACCCTTCGCTAGAATTTATTTTCGGTGTAGTGAAAATTTTGCATTTATTTGTTTTAATGGTTGACAAATAATCTGTGTTGAGAACAGCTTCTCCAATCGCATTGGATAATAAATTATTATGAAATAGTTTTGTTATTAAATTGCGTATTAACCGGCTAATTTACGTCCGAAAACACCCTCTTTCCCGCAAACACAAATTTATAAAAAAATCCTGAATTGATCTTATTAACTTGTGAAAAACCCCCAAAGGAGATTCTCATTTATGAGTAAATGAAAACAGTAGTTACAACGTACATGAAAAATAATACATAGGAAAAATGGAAAAATTGTTGTCTAAAAGAAGTTCAATCAGATAAGCCTAGAACATAAATAATTTTTCATAGAATGATATGAATCACAAACATTTAGTCAAGAATATAACCTATATAGTGTGACGATGCAGAAATCTTATATGATATTCTTAATTAATGGTTGTTTTTGAAAAAAAATTTCAATGTTCACGCCTCTTCCTTTTAGCTCTTTCTGTCTGTACTATTAAGTTATTTCTAATTCAGAGAATTGATTTTCTTCTTCTCCATCATATTTAATCAATAGATTAATCATTTAATAGGGAATTGAATTTCAAGCAACGACCAGAAAAAATGATTAATATCTTATCCCAAAGCTTTCTACGTTTTTTATGTCGTGAATAACTCTTTACACCTTCAAATTCTTGTGTAATAACGAGTAAGAAAAGCTGTAGAAATCATAAACTTTATCTTTCTATAAATCTACATTAGGTCAATTTAGAATTCTTCATCCTGAATTTAGGAAATAATAATTTTTGATTAAACCATTTTACATTGAATATGGTTTTGTTCTCAATATAATTTAAATATTCTTGATTAATAACTGTTGATATTTTCTAATTGATCTTTGCTCTTTCATCTCAGATTTAGAATATTTTTTCTTTTTGATTTAAGTGACTTTTCCAATTTTTGAAATGGTGGCTGGATACATTGTAACTTTTCCAAATTTGGAAATAAAAAAAGTAATGTTTAATAAAACTTAATAAGGAGCAACTGTAAATCTTCATGTTTTAGTTGAAAATGCAGTATCGAATGAAATAGAACCATTGGAATTTCAATAACCACTACTTTGCAACTATAGACCATTTTAATTGAAAAATAACTTAACTCTTCCTCCTGTTCCTTATCTTTTTAATCATTAATATATTCATTTTGGGTATATTAACTATAAAATTTCTATTAAAAAAGTTTCTTTATCCTCTCTTTATAGGTCAGATAGAATTTTAAAACTTTCTANTTAAATTTGAAGAAAAATTGTAGAAATATATAGGTGTAATTTTCAGAAATTGAATTTCAATGAACAAGTCTTTTGGAAAGATTGGGGTTTTAAACAAAACCATTTTTACCATTACTTTATTTTTACTACCCTTCGCTAGAATTTATTTTCGGTGTAGTGAAAATTTTGCATTTATTTGTTTTAATGGTTGACAAATAATCTGTGTTGAGAACAGCTTCTCCAATCGCATTGGATAATAAATTATTATGAAATAGTTTTGTTATTAAATTGCGTATTAACCGGCTAATTTACGTCCGAAAACACCCTCTTTCCCGCAAACACAAATTTATAAAAAAATCCTGAATTGATCTTATTAACTTGTGAAAAACCCCCAAAGGAGATTCTCATTTATGAGTAAATGAAAACAGTAGTTACAACGTACATGAAAAATAATACATAGGAAAAATGGAAAAATTGTTGTCTAAAAGAAGTTCAATCAGATAAGCCTAGAACATAAATAATTTTTCATAGAATGATATGAATCACAAACATTTAGTCAAGAATATAACCTATATAGTGTGACGATGCAGAAATCTTATATGATATTCTTAATTAATGGTTGTTTTTGAAAAAAAATTTCAATGTTCACGCCTCTTCCTTTTAGCTCTTTCTGTCTGTACTATTAAGTTATTTCTAATTCAGAGAATTGATTTTCTTCTTCTCCATCATATTTAATCAATAGATTAATCATTTAATAGGGAATTGAATTTCAAGCAACGACCAGAAAAAATGATTAATATCTTATCCCAAAGCTTTCTACGTTTTTTATGTCGTGAATAACTCTTTACACCTTCAAATTCTTGTGTAATAACGAGTAAGAAAAGCTGTAGAAATCATAAACTTTATCTTTCTATAAATCTACATTAGGTCAATTTAGAATTCTTCATCCTGAATTTAGGAAATAATAATTTTTGATTAAACCATTTTACATTGAATATGGTTTTGTTCTCAATATAATTTAAATATTCTTGATTAATAACTGTTGATATTTTCTAATTGATCTTTGCTCTTTCATCTCAGATTTAGAATATTTTTTCTTTTTGATTTAAGTGACTTTTCCAATTTTTGAAATGGTGGCTGGATACATTGTAACTTTTCCAAATTTGGAAATAAAAAAAGTAATGTTTAATAAAACTTAATAAGGAGCAACTGTAAATCTTCATGTTTTAGTTGAAAATGCAGTATCGAATGAAATAGAACCATTGGAATTTCAATAACCACTACTTTGCAACTATAGACCATTTTAATTGAAAAATAACTTAACTCTTCCTCCTGTTCCTTATCTTTTTAATCATTAATATATTCATTTTGGGTATATTAACTATAAAATTTCTATTAAAAAAGTTTCTTTATCCTCTCTTTATAGGTCAGATAGAATTTTAAAACTTTCTATTATATCACACTAAACCAGTTAAGTCATAGTACTTTTTCCAATAATTTCTCTCAGATATTATTTTTTAATCCTTTTCTTTGAAGCATAAAGGGAATCTTTACATTGGTTTCAGGCTTTATCAATGACTTTGAATAAAAATGAATAGCCTTCTTCCGTTAATTCAAGTAAAAATATTCTGATTTTATCGATCACTCAAATAGATTATAGTTTAGAGATGCAGATAAGAACAAACGCCGAGAATAACTTATTCTAATATCGAAAGGATAATAACTCACTTACTCTCATTGCCCCCTTTAGAAGATTTTCATAAGTTATCTAAAATAATCTATTTCATATGGATATGGTAACTACCAATTTGCTGATGATATTGTATTTTTTGTTAGATATTTTAAAATATAGATTTTTCTTCATCAAATTTCAGAGCTGCCTTTGAAACATAACCTCTAAATATCGAAATACAGGGTGGTATCTTCTTTAATTAAAATCATGTATAAACTTAACAGTTAAATATCCAAGTTTCCCTATTGTAACCAAAAACAAATACCTAAGGATAACAATATGCAACAAAAGGAAAATTTAACTACATTTAGATTAGCTTTAGAAAAACATTTAATATATATTGAAAATTGTAGTGGATATCATTATCCTTCAATTAAAATAAAATCCATAATTTATTCTAAGCATTTATCCTACCACATATTTTTATATTTGCCCAGCAACTGCAACTCAAATAAAAAGACATTCTTTAAGTTTTAATTGTTATATAATCGTAGTTATAAAAGGATTTGTGGATTCCCAACATCAATAACAAATTTCCTATTAGAATTGGTTTTGGATATGGTAAATAATAATTCTAATTGTTTTCTCTCAACAAATTTCAATAAACTGGTCCTTCTATATAATAAAATATCTCCAATTCATTAGAGAAATTGTACATTACAGCACATTCACAAATTTCCATTAATATATTAGGTACTCTTATCATTAGTTAAGATCAGAAGAATTAAGAATTGAAAGATTAAAGAGGAAACTTGCAAAATCAAATAGATTAATTATACACCAAGTTAAGTTATGAGTAATGGCAATTAAGTTAGTATTAAATTGAATAAAAAAATTATTAATTATGAAAAAGGTATGAAAAATAAGATTTAATTTATTTTTAAATCAAAAGTGATCTAAAACTTCAACCTTTCCGTGTATTATAATCAATGGGTAAAAATCTTATTCATTATTTATTTGCAATTACTAATGATAAAATACATAAATTTACAAATTCTTGAAGGGTTGACTTTTTGGTCCATAATATTGATTTAATATTCATGTCTATTTCTATTAGTATAATGTCATATTTAGCGAAGGTAAACGATTACTAAACATCATTCTAGTTCTTTGATTAGTGGGAATAATTGTAGCCTTGATTGCTTATTAAGTAGGTTCTAAATTAGATAGATTATTTACCCATGTCCAATAAATTTTAGGTTAGGAGTGTAATTTGTTCTGATAATCACGTCTTTATTGCCTATACCAATATTTACAAAAGACTTAACATCCAATATTTTTAATGCAAATTTTGTCATCCCAATCTTTGGAATCATTTAATTTCCAAAAAATAAACCTTAGCCTTATACAATTCTTCCATTTTGTTAAATATCCACATATCGACATTATAAATTCCCTTCAAATCTAACTAAAAATTAATTATTCTTATTTATTAGGGTTGAAAATGATCCCTATTGATCATAAATTTACTTTTATATCAATTTAGTTTGTTCTATTTTCTTTTAGACCCCGATATCATCTTCTACATTAAAACTATGCCTCTTCTATAAATTTTCCCATTCTTTTCCCATCAGTCTTAATAATTTTATTAATTCACTCAATTATGGTAATAAAGTATCCGAAACCAATCCTAATCTCCTGAATTAACCAATTTATAGATCCAAATTATAAATCTAAAATTCTTATAAATTATTAAAAATGCAGTCCTCAGCAGGCTTAATAAAGCTACTTAAAATATTTATAACTTAATGGCATTCTTAAATATTAAACTGTATTTCCTTTATAATTTGTATACCTAAAGCCATCTAACTTCTAACCCAATCAAATTGTATTAAACTTTCAGCATGGTCTTTGTGAATTACAAGACATAATTAACAGCAAAGTTATTGGTTTTAGCAGTTTCTATATGTACAAACTCCAATTAAGGGGTTTTTGAAATGATCGATTCTTTGACAATATTGGTTTCCAAAATTCATTTATTATTAATTTTATTAAAATATTCAATAATCAATAATTGAATTTAAAGTATAAACTATCAATAATTTTTACAATTTAATGGAATTTCCATTGATTAACCTATTTGTGAAAGTAGATAATAATTCGATTCTCTAATTGTAATTTTCAATATGTTCCTCTAATTCTGAATGAAGTAAGATTAGAATTATATATTTTTCTAATGGAGATGAAAAGTGATATTTAAAAACAATGAATTATTCAATGTTTTGAACAGTTAGAAGATATTAATTTTTTCTATTATTTTCTCAATCTATATTGATTTCTCATGAAAAATTACTATATTATGAAATAGTTTATTTTTCTACTTGTAAAATATGTCATAAGATATCTTATTTAAGGGACTTAAAACTCTGTATTAGTAAATAAATTTATAATTCCCTTTGATAAAACTTGTTTAATGGTTATTATAATTGATAAGCCATCCCCACCTAATTCATTACATTCCATAATTACTTCTAAAGTATCATCACTTTTTGGCAGATGCAATAAGATAATTCATGTATTTTGATTTTGGGATATAAAATAATTCATATTTAGAGTTGCCAAATATTTTCTTCAATTGTTCAAATTAGGAATAAAGAGTTGATTAAATTTTCTGTATATCCAAAAAATTTAGTAAAAATTTGTAATTTTATATTGAAATTTCTATTTACAATGATTTATTGAAATACTTAGTGTGTCATAATACAAATTGAAAGGGATTTATGTCAATGAAAACGGTAAAAAAAAAAATGGATTTCTTATTCAATTAATAATTCTAAAATGGTTCAATTATTTCAAAATATCTTATCATTTTTGTTATTACATTACTAACCTTAATAATGTGCCTTCATTAATTTCTTCAAATATCAAAGAATAATTATAACTTAAAGTTTATTTGAATTAGAATTATATTTCTCATTTTAATATTCATCACATTATATAAATAAGAATTATGAAACAAAACCAAAATTTTAAAAGGCTTTAGGAATTAATAAATGAATAACTTAAAGTCTTTGGGTATTGTGAAGAAATAAAAGGATGACAGCTATCGATGTAACTACTGCTAATTTGAATGTGATAGCTAGCTCAAAATGATTCATCACAATTCGTCCTGTTTTTTTAGTGAATATGACAAAATGAAGAAAAGGACAGGGTTCAGTAGAAGTTAACTAAAGGAACAAGATAAAAAATAGAAAAGAGCAATAAGAAATATCCTGAATTCAAAAATCCAACAAAATAGTTTAGATGCGTAAACTTAGAATAAAACTGAAAATGGGTCAAAAGAAGAAGAATAATCAAAATCAAATAAATTATAAAATGAGATTCAACATAATCCTGAGTTTGTATCAGACGATAAAAATGAGTTAGTTGATTCAAGTAATTATTAATAATAATTATTAGCTTAGGATGATTAATTTATAATTAAAGGAGAGGAGAACAACATCATTCTAAGTATGCTGGCTCTTTAAAACAGATCTGAATTAAGGCTAAAATGGGACTGGCCATAACATGAAAGATTTACAAAATAATTAGGAATGCAAAGTCTAAAAGAAACAGAAATTACTTCTGAATTTAAATCTACCCTAGAGTATAACGCTTTAGAGGGTTCTGAAGAAATTTGTGAGCTTACTTCTAATAAATAATGCCACCCACTCAAATAGAATGATATTTTACTTTCAAGTCATCAGGAGGTATGTTAAAAAGATTCTAATTTAATATCGATTGATTTAAGAAAAAATGAAGAGCAAATGTAGAATCCAATCCAAGATTTAGGGATGTCAGTCGTACAAAATGATGATAATATTTAAGCTTAAGAATCATCACCTCATAACTTATAAAAATAAGAATTAAAATAGGAATTAATGGCTGAATCTATAAAGGAGAAATCTGTTCTAATCAAAAATTAGGATCTAAATAATTAAAAAAATTACTCTTTAGAGAATTAAGACATAAAATCTGAGATCATAATTAAAGGACCTTCTAAATAAGAAAGCAACATAGAAAGTGATGATGAAGATATTAACTTCCTTGATCCAACTAGGGCAAATAATCAATTTAATCTTATTTTATAACAAGCCCATTTTGAATTAATACATAGAAATCAATTAAAGGAAGTTCATAAAGTCCTAAGAGATTATTATGATCAAGTATTAAATAATATATTTATAAGGTGCGTCTTGATGTATTTGATATAGAAAAAGTTTGGGGGTTAGTATAAAGTCAACACTCTCAAGCCATTTTAAATTATAGATAATTATTGAAATGTTTGTTAGACCTACATGACTAAGAAAAGATCCAATTAGATGAACATAAATAAATTCTGTATCTAATTTGATTTATAATTTCTAAATTAAATTAGGTATTTATTATCTATAAAAGTTTTTTAACTATTTAAGGTTGATATAAATAAGTTTTTTCAAATTTATAAATATTAATCATTTTTTTTAATAATTTAGCAATTACCTTATTTATATTTAACTTGAACTCAAGTCCCATGTGATCAAATATTAGCCATCATGACTAATACTCCCATTTACACAATAATGGTCAAACTCCAGTTATTGTTATAAAATACAATCATTATTATTTTTTATGGAAATGATATTAACACATTATCCATTTTTTTTTACTAAAATCTATTTTTCTTTAATAAATTACGATGGGAATAAGTTAGTACAACCCAATTTACTTTATTACACATCTAAAGTTTTGGATATAGTATATACTTTACTCTAAGATTAAAATTAATATAGTTGCATAGATTAACCATTAAAAGGTTAGAATGAAAACATTTCATTATTTAGAAAACAGATCCTTGCACCCCATATATCAATTTAAATTGTTTAAATAACAATCCATGTCTTACAAGGCTATTATTGGCTTATTTTTATTAAAGGTTCTTCCCAAGCTGTCGAAATCAATTAATTTTATGATTCATTTAAACTCATTCCACAAATCCAATTTTCGTGTTCTAATAATTATTAGTCAAAATTGCAAATATTATCTTTTCTAATCCAAAATTTAATATAACAATCATTTCCTCCAGATACAATTAGATCTTCATGATGACTTACAAGTATACATCTAACAGGTCTTGAATGACCAGATAAATATTACAAATGTCTTAGATAGGTGCCTTGAAATGACCAGATTTTAATGATTTTATCTCCACTTGATATGAATTAGTTTGAATGTTTTAAAACTACTATGCAAATTACTTATCTGTGACCTTTGACTATTTTTTGTTTTTTCAACTTGTTCGATTGAAATTTAAATAATTGTATAAATCCATTTCTATCTCCAATTATTATCAATGATAAGGACGTATCAAAATCCATAGCGTAGCAATTTTCTCCAATATAATATTATAGGACGAGTTCAAAATTAATTGTTGATTAGAAATCATTCTTTTTGAAAACATTGTTTTCTTATGACTAACCAAAACCCCAAAGATTTTATTGTTTTAGATCTTCTTGGTATGATTCATTTTAAAGACCTGTTTACTGTTATTCTGCTATTATATTTGGAAGATTTAATTGATTCATTATATATATAATTTATTCTAACAATGTTCAATAAATTAAATATATTTATTTATAGAATACTATATAATGATGGAGTGAAATTATTAAATGCTATTTTAAGTATTTAAGGCAATAATCTTTTTCTAAGAAAATAGTAATTCAAAAATGAGTGTTCAAGCAATTCTCATCAATAATCAGACATCATATTTTTTTCATCTTATAATCCATTTTCTTTGGTCCATTTATTTTATTCTTGCAATTTTAATTGAATAATTCATACTTTACAATCTACAATAGTCAAAAGAAAAGTTATTCTGATGCGAAAATATACTCATTAAAACATTATTCGTGTTCTATGTTTTTCGGTTAATTACTAAACATACAAAGACAAATTTTGTTATCAACTATTTCATTAGGTTATTATAACATCAATTATTAATGCTTATTTCATCCGTTTAATACAAAAATAAATTAGATCTAATTTGAAAATACAATGAATATTTTAAGTTCTTAAATATGGTTATAAAGGTTACTAAACATTGATTTAGGAAAGGATAATTTTCAATCTAATCCTTAATAAAATCACCAAAGAAATTATACCTACATAGAAAATTTTAGATTATTCTATTCAATCAGGATTAATTTCTAAAAGGTATACCAAATTTATGTTAAATTGAAAGTGTAATATTTTCTAAAAAAACAATAATAACATACTCTATTCAATAGAATGGTGTTGGCTTTTAAGAACAATTTGTATATGATGACTATTTTAAACTTATTAGATATATAGGTAAATATAAAATAGATACATCCTGTTTAATAATTATTCTTTATCATTTTCAGTAAGAAATTTCTAAATTTTATATGAAAAATATGTATTTTAAAGTATTTTGTTCATATCCATATCTAATTTCAATCCAATAAATTAATATTAAATTAATTTCCATATATTACTTTAGGTTTATCTAAATTTATTATTCCATATACCTACTTTTTTCCATTCTTTAATTTCCTGTATAAATGACCTAACTTTCAGTAAAAATATAAATTCGCCTTCAGATACTCGCAAAAATGATTTTCGAACCATTCACCAATTGAATAACCTATATCGTCATATTCCCCACCTCCATTAAAAATAAAAATAGCAAGGGAAGTTTTACATTATATCATATGACTCTTCACCACTAATAGAGATATATAATAGACTAAATATTACATATATTAGTCATTATAAAATGTCCCTATTTTCTACTAAAAAAAAACTATAATTTCCTATATATGTCACTTAACTAAAACTAAAAAAGTATTGAGTAGGGTAAAGTTATACTCATAAAACTTATAGCTTATTTACACCAATTTGCCATCCTTCTATCCTTACAAATAAGACCCCCAGTCGCTAGTTAAAGAATTATACATATACACATATAGACATATTTTAACATCTCTTTTGTATTCCACATTATATCTAATTTCGTATTTTCTTAGGTAAAGGATGCATCACAAATATACTTCCAAAATTCAGACTCAACTCTACCCATCCTCCATTTTCAACCCCTTCTTGATCCTAAGAACCGCCACCACTAACAATTGATTACAATTTATGAAATTAGATCTATTGAAATGGTGCATTATTGAATCTATAAAGAAAATTCCATTTAGAAACCGTTTTTAGTTTGTTATAATCTCCCTAAAATATATCTCGCAATCACTTATAAGATAATATCACAATACCTATAAAAACTATTACTTAATTCTACCATATAACCATGTTTTTATCATTCTTGTCCAGCATAATAACCACCGCCACTAATAAATTTATTGGATAAATAGTACTTCCTATCAAATGGCTAACTTTAACTGCATCTAGAATAGATGTCCAATTGACCGACCTTTTTCTCATTTTTACATTAACCTTGATAAATAACTTCTCCTTTTCTAATTAATTAAAATAATTTCTATTAATTACTTCCAGAATATTCAAATATATCCATCTACCGTTATTTTCTCCATTCTCATCATATTATCCTCCATCACTAAAATAATTAAATATCATTATGTTTTACATGATTTTGCAATGCAAGTCTTCACACTTACACAATATATCTCATAACCCAATCTTTTTACCATTCTTATATTCACCATAATATATGATTTAAATCAAACTAATTAATTAAAAATAAATTAAATACTTCCAGAAGTTGTCATTCAAATCTATCCATTTTCCATTCTTTAAACCTTATTTATATAAGCCCCCCATTACTAAAATAATTTCATTCATACAACACTTTATCTTAATTAATGAACTTCCAAACACCCTCCCTTTAATCATTATAGTATTCTCCAAATACATAATCTATGCTTCAATTTAAATATTTTCCTTCAACTTAGCTCCAATAATTATTGAATATTTCAGCACACAGCCCAACTACTTTCCATCACTAGAGTATAGTAATTGTAAACAAATTTTACATTCCATTCATTAACTGACTCTAAAGTTTAGCCCTTCCAAATTGCAGTCCATATTCCAATCTTTTTTTCATATTTTCGCTATTCACCTTACAATTGAATTAATATGATCTATTGTAAATTAGTTAGCAGATCTGGTTTATTCCAAAAGTTATTTAGTCATCACTTTATCAGTCAAGGCATAATTACATTCTTAAAATAGCATCGTCAAAATTTATATATTTTATTTCATAATTGTTGTAAACAAGATTAATAGTTTATTTTTTGTAAATTTAAGCTGTTCATAATCAAAATACTCCATGCAATTTCTTCAACCCACGTTGCTTAAGCTTCACTTTGTTATTCTCTAATGTTTAATTATCACTATTCTACTTAGAAAAACTATATTGATTTGATCTTAAGAATTGGTTTATTGTCTTTTTTGATATGAAAATTATTATTCATAAATTGCTTAATTTATTATAATATTGATTCACTCATTTTTTCTTCATCCATTTTCTAACTTCAATTTACTTTGAATAAACATCCCAAGTAATTAAATATTCACCATCATCACTGAGTGCTCCATACACTGAAGTATCTTTAAATGAAATAACTTAATTTTTATTAAACTTCATGGCTTTCTTATCTATTTTTAATTTATTAAATTACTTTGACTTCTTTTAACTTTGAATATTTAAATGTCATTCATATTTTTAAGTAAAAGTATGCTCTTATTTTTGTTATATATCGCAGGAAATAATTCATCGTCTGGATCAGCATCATCATCAGAAGGAATTGGTGTTTAAGTAACATAATTTCCATTTTTATTGAGATTATAAATGTAAAAAAAATTTTAATATTCAGGTTGAAAAATGAATGTTTCATTATTGATAAAGCATAATCTAAAACCAAATGTCGAATGTTCAATTTATTAATTTACAATCCATTTAGAATTTTCAAATTTAAACACCATGATATAATTAGAGCTCAATGAAATACATTTAACACCAGATTCAAGCATTGATATTGACCATATTGGAGAATCGTTGCATTCTATGCTTCTCTAACAAACCCATGATGATTTTTTCTAATTCCAAAATTTGATAGTTTCATCATGACTACCAGTTATTAACCAATCTTCCAAAAGAGGAGTAATTGCTAAACACATTATTCCGTTCTGATGTTGACTTAATTTTTAAATGAATTTCTGATTTGACAATAAATATTTTGGCCATATAATAATAGAATTATCAAAAGAAGTTGTAATAATGCTTTAACATCTTTTTATGTAATTTAAAGTGCTTATTATTTCTTTATGCTTAGTAAATTAACTCAGGTTTTTTAATGAGTCATGATGAAATTAATAAATTTCTAATGAATTTTTAACACCTGCAAAGATGAGAGTGTTATCATTATTAAAAGCAAAAGCATGGCATTTTGAATCCTTTTTAATTTGACTTCCAATTGGCTCAAAATTGTAAATTTGGGAATTAGGCTTTTTTTATTTGGACATATGCTTTTATTTAATTATTAAAATATCATAAACTATATATCATAAACTCTCCTTAAAATAATGAGGAAAATATTTCATCTAATAAATATTTGGATACTAATTTCTAAGATTTTTGTAATCAATAATTGATTTAGGATATTTTAAAATTTGGAAGCTATTATTAATACTTTTCATATGAGACTTATTAAGGTCTATTGCTGTTTTTCCATAAAAGAAATTTCGATAAATAGTGTCCTTAGAAAAACTATTATGCTAAACTATTCTTATTAATTTAATTTCTTTTAAAGATATTTTACAATAGTTCAATTTAATAGTTGAATATATCTTGATGGGTCTACTTTTAAGTTAATTTAGCTCAAGGTTATCAAGATTTATTTTATTTGACTATATTCTGCCAAAGTAGTTAATAGAAAAATTTTTTATTATTACTTTTGAACAAATATGTTCTTGAAATTCTTCAAAAATAGCCAAATAAGAACAAATTTCGATATCTAAAAGGTCAATTATAATTTAAATACTTTATTTTAGGATAGTCTTAAAATATTCCATAAAAAATTATCTAGCCTCTCTTAATTAACCATGAGTTACAATATATTTATCTTTAAGATTTAGCCCATCAATAACAAAACCTATTACTACTCATTTTCTCTCTATTTATTATACTAAAATTTAAGAAGAAAAAAAGAATTAATGGCTGTTTTCTTTGATAAAAATGTAGTTAATATACAAATAAGAAGAAATAATTTGAAAGAATATCCTCTCATTCTCGGTCTCAGTTGTTCTAAATTCGTCAATAAGTATATACCAGTTGTTTAACTGTATAGTTTAATGAAAAAAATTGATAATTGTAATCCAAATTTAAATAATATTGTCATCTATTATTCTTTTAAATTGTTTTCTTTCAATATATACAATGTTTAATGCCTCTATAAATAGATTATTATAAAATTTAAATCATACGAAGAAAAAAATTAATCAGATTTGATGTTTATAAATTCATAAATGTTTGGTAGGCAAAATTACTTAGAATGCTAAGAAAATATACTTTATTCGTATTTATTTCCAATTTCACCCACAATGTAAAATATTATTGCAACATTCCTTTAATATAAAATTACAAATAAACAATATTTATTTGACTGCTGAATCAATTGAAAGTTCCTTATCCAGCATTTCATATATAAAACTATTGCCTTATTCCCAATCATCTAAAAATGCCTGAATCTTGGTGATACACTAAGTAGTTAGGGATATTCCTCTTAATCTACTGTGTCATTTATCTGGTAATACTGAATTTTGACTCATTACTGGAGTTGCCTTCTTGATTTAGTTTATCTGAAAGTTGGAATGACCTTCCAACAAAAGGATTTTCGATACAAACTTGGTGGATAAATTTTAATTCAGCAAAATCATACTGTGCACTTATATTCAAGTTTTTATCATAATTTAGAATAACTACTTTATTATTCTATTAAATTCCACACTGATATTATGGCACTTTTATTTTCACTCATGACAGATTTATATTTGAGACTATAATTTTTTAGCCATAAACTTGTAAATTTGATAGCAAAAATACAAATAATAAAATTGTCAAAAAGATCAACGGATTAAGAAAATTATTTCATGGTCTAAGCTTTGACTCTAAGGCACAGGGAATGCGCAGCTCGGACAATATACATCCATCTTGAGGTTTCTATCCTAATCCCCAGGATAAAAAAATACAGTTTTAAGGAGATTCTATAGATTATATTTTTCTCCAAATTCATGACATATATTTTATTAATGATGAGGTACCAATAGAAAGAACGTTGATAAAATTATAATTTTATGCTGTTTAAACACTTTGACTCTACTTATTAACATAGGTGAAATAAGGAGCTTAAGTTAATTAAGCAAACTCCTACTGACTTCTTGTAAGAGTTTAATGATAACATCACATTTAAAGTTATTTTACTATCCTTAAAAAATTTGATATCCTCTATGATTGTTTCCATAATCTTGTCTCAAGAATCACCCTTTGCATCGGTCTAACTTATTTATAGATACAACATTTTTAAGTAGACAAATGACTATGATTATAATTGTCTACAATTCTTCTAGTAAACCGTTTATTAAAACTTTTAAATCAAGATTGATAAAGAAGGAGTGATATCTAAAGTATTTTTCGAATTCATATATTACATGATTACCTTATTTATTTTCAGTTTTAATAAGAGTAGCTAATTATTAGATCTTAAAGACTTACTTGCTTTGTTAATTTCGTTTATCAAATGGTACTTTATATGTGAAATTTTTCAAGATCTTTTAATCCTCTAATTATCTGTAACTTCCTTAAACTCTTGAAACTTAAGAAAGTGCAACACTGCAATTTTCAACTAAATGCAAATAGTATCTAATTATGTAAACCTGTAATAATAATTCCAACATTAAGAGTTTTTATCTATTTGAATAAGCGATTTAATTGATGAGAAGCAACGTAACAACATAAAAAAAACACAATTCTTTAGATAAAATATCTGAAATGATCCACATTAATTAGAGATACTAATAGAGTAATTTTGGTTAAAAGGTTTAAATATCACGTTGTGATTAATTATTTAAAACACATTTATCGACTGTATTCTCAAGTTTCAACCAAAAATATTACAAAATTAATAAATAAATTGAGATATCAACTAAATTTACAATTAGAGGTAGGATTATTAAGTCAAAGCGGAAAGTTGTTAATGTTAAAATAATTATTATTTCTGTCTTTGCAAAAAAACCATTCCAAAAAATTGGAAAAATCCTCATTACATTTGAAATTCTTAATTTAAGTAAATATTGTTGTGCTGGAATTGGATTTGAAGACATCACGAAAAAATATTACTATTAATAAACAGGAATTGGAAGAGAGTATTTAATTTAATCAAGTGAGTCATATTTGATAAGAAACGATGGTACTTCTTTTTCTGATGATAACAAAGTTGTAAATTGTAAACAATCATCATTCACTTTTCTAATAATGATATCTTAATTATTGAAGCAAGTATTGAAGATAAATACATTAAATGGACTAAAAAGAATAATCCATAAACAACTATTGTAATCATCAAATATCTTAAAAGTAGTTTGATATNATTTAAAGTTATTTTACTATCCTTAAAAAATTTGATATCCTCTATGATTGTTTCCATAATCTTGTCTCAAGAATCACCCTTTGCATCGGTCTAACTTATTTATAGATACAACATTTTTAAGTAGACAAATGACTATGATTATAATTGTCTACAATTCTTCTAGTAAACCGTTTATTAAAACTTTTAAATCAAGATTGATAAAGAAGGAGTGATATCTAAAGTATTTTTCGAATTCATATATTACATGATTACCTTATTTATTTTCAGTTTTAATAAGAGTAGCTAATTATTAGATCTTAAAGACTTACTTGCTTTGTTAATTTCGTTTATCAAATGGTACTTTATATGTGAAATTTTTCAAGATCTTTTAATCCTCTAATTATCTGTAACTTCCTTAAACTCTTGAAACTTAAGAAAGTGCAACACTGCAATTTTCAACTAAATGCAAATAGTATCTAATTATGTAAACCTGTAATAATAATTCCAACATTAAGAGTTTTTATCTATTTGAATAAGCGATTTAATTGATGAGAAGCAACGTAACAACATAAAAAAAACACAATTCTTTAGATAAAATATCTGAAATGATCCACATTAATTAGAGATACTAATAGAGTAATTTTGGTTAAAAGGTTTAAATATCACGTTGTGATTAATTATTTAAAACACATTTATCGACTGTATTCTCAAGTTTCAACCAAAAATATTACAAAATTAATAAATAAATTGAGATATCAACTAAATTTACAATTAGAGGTAGGATTATTAAGTCAAAGCGGAAAGTTGTTAATGTTAAAATAATTATTATTTCTGTCTTTGCAAAAAAACCATTCCAAAAAATTGGAAAAATCCTCATTACATTTGAAATTCTTAATTTAAGTAAATATTGTTGTGCTGGAATTGGATTTGAAGACATCACGAAAAAATATTACTATTAATAAACAGGAATTGGAAGAGAGTATTTAATTTAATCAAGTGAGTCATATTTGATAAGAAACGATGGTACTTCTTTTTCTGATGATAACAAAGTTGTAAATTGTAAACAATCATCATTCACTTTTCTAATAATGATATCTTAATTATTGAAGCAAGTATTGAAGATAAATACATTAAATGGACTAAAAAGAATAATCCATAAACAACTATTGTAATCATCAAATATCTTAAAAGTAGTTTGATATAGATACATCCATATCACAAGAATTGTATCCATCAATATTAATGTAAAATTCAAAAGTGAAATATTTAGTATAGATTTGGTTCAAAAGTAGATAAGTATTACCCTTATTAATTTAAATTCAAAACAGAAGTTTTATGTAAACATTTATCTTAACAAATTCATTCATTATGAATTTTACTAATAACTTGGTAGTAATTATTATACTCCTATTGTCTTAACTATTAACTTTATCAGTTGAATATGAATTTAGGATAATTCCAGAAAACATTTCTTTCAAGTTACTATCTAAAAGAGTTAAATGTTAGAATTTTTCGATGTTGAAACTTCTTTTCTATCATTTAATCATGTTATAACTCAAACATTATGGTTTTGTTACAGCTACTTGTTCTTGATACTGAGTTGCCAATAACATTCAATCATAATAAAGAATTAGATAAGTTTAATTATAATGTAATATTGCTATTGATGAGTTTCAAAATTGATCTGTTTTATAAGCATAATTGTCTTTTACCCTAATGTACTTTTTGAATACTAATTATAGGAGTACGTTTTGACTCTTATCATAGTTCCTTTCATTTTGATAGATATAACATATCTAATTTAAGGCTTTTTGGATTCATTGCTCAACCAACTTATAATTTAGAAACCGCTCCAAACCAGAAATATTTATGAGATTAGATGACTCTGATATTACGAAATCTAATTAAAATAAAAGCAGCCAAAAACGTACTTTGAAGGAGTGTCTGTAGTGAAATTGATTGAATAAAAAGGTCATAATTTAAAATCTAGTTATCAAATTATATCTTCATTAACGATTTAGCTATTATACAATTTAAATAACGATAAAAAGCGAATTTCAAGTAAAATTTTAGCTTCTTATTACACTAACCCAATATAAAAATACTTTATTGATTGTACATGAATGGCTCTAAGATCGAGTTCTGAGTTATTTTGTTTTCTTATCAAGAATAATGATTTCTGCAATTTCTTTTCTGATTTCGTATTGATTATTACTATTTGTATGAAATCATCTTCAGGGTTTGAAATGAAGTGGAAAGTATTCATAATAGAGAAGGCTATTTCCAAGCACCGTTTTATATGATGATGATTAAATATATAAATTGATATCATTTCTAGCCTTCCTAGATTATAACAATATTAATATATGAAAAATAATATATTTCCACTGAGCTTAAGGACATGACACTTCCTTTAAGTCTCAGCAGTATGAACCATAAGTGTCACAATTTTAACACCATAATAACCATTTCCATAATCTCTTGGAATGTTTCATCCATTAAACCTCAAACACTCAAATTTATTACACAAAAAAGCCCTCATATTTTCTGTCTGCAAGAATGTCTTAACAGCAATATATCTTCAACACCTAGCTATTAAATATATCAATGCCAAAATTAGTTATCTTAAAAATCAGGTGGAATTTTAACAGGAATTCATCCTAGTTTCGACTGCAGTAATGTATTGCAACTACCCAACAAATTTGCCAGTAATAAACGCCACTTTTACTT